CATTCTATTAAAAATACCAGATTCTTACTCTCTAATCCCCAGTGGTGCTTCTGGGCCTGTGTTGAAGAAGAAAGGGGACTTATACCTAGGAAAGAACATTAAGCTCACTTTTTATCCCTTCATTTTCAAGTTCTCAGGCAAGAGGCCAGAACACTAATGTGAGTGTTCAAAAGAGAGGTTGGGGGTGGGGTTGGGAGATGGGACTGAGTGGGGATGGATTTTACACAGTCAACTCTTGGCCTTCCAGAAGCCAGATCATCTCTCAAGTTAGACAGCCTCCTTCTGTGCGCTAAATTGTCATTATTTACCTCAATACCAATATTTTCTGTGCTGTCTTTGGACTTATGCATACTAACAGGCCCAAGTGTTTCCAAGTGTGGCTCCACTTTCTGATTGAAAAATGAATCTAATGCCATATGTGGATTTCACATATAATCCTGTATATTAATTTTACTTACACCCTCTAAATGGCAAAAACACATCTTTTTTGCTGACCATGACCTGAACTGGGTAATGCCTTTGCATGGCTGTGTCTGTAAAGAGGATGGCGCTGGGAACAGAGTTAGCCACTACTATGCCCTTGACTTTTAGGTTACAGTATGTGTGGTGGTGGTAGGGAGGGTTGGCCTGAACATGTGTGTTTTATTCTAAGACAGCTGTGCAGTTAAGCATAAGTCTTCTGGCCTGGAGGGAATTTGTAATAGAGCTGTGTCATAAGTGAAGAGAGTCATCATTTTTTTTGTTTTATTCTGTAATGATATAACTTTTGTTTTAAGTGCATTTTATTTATTCCTATTTGGGGACCCTCTCAAATTTTATGGTCAATCTTATATTCCTCTAATATGTCCTTGACACGTAGTTGGCAATTTTAGGCAGTTAATTACCATACTTCTGTTATAGTCAACTAGTAGTTACATTGCTTTACGAAGAATCTTAACAAAAATCTCACTTCCTTTTCCATCCTATCAGTTTCTTTCTTCCCTTCTCTTGTTTCTTCTTTACTCTTGTTTTCTGTGAGTGTTTGTGCACTCAGATAAACAAAAACTAATCTGCCAGAAGTTTTCAGCTGTCAGGTTTGTTAAGGTATAATTTATACACAATAAAATTTATCCTTTCTGCACATACACATCATTGCATTTTGAACAACATATACAGTCATGTAACAATCAAGATGTGTAGGGTATTTAAATCACCCTCAGAATTTCCTCATGCCCCTTTGTATTCAATCCCCTCTTCAACCCTAGCCCTAAGTAATCCATTTTGTAATTCCATACTTTTGCTTTTTCTACAGTAGATAGAGATGGAATCATAAAGTATACAACCCTTTGACTCTGACTTCTTTCACTCAGCATTACCCTTTTGAGACTCATTCATATTGAGCTACATATCAGTTCCTTTATACTGATGAGTACAATTCCATTGTATGGACGTGCCATCATTCATTTATTCATTGATGGACATTTGGGTTGTCTCCGGTTTGGGGAAATTATGAATAAAGTTTCTATAAGCCCTTGCATTTAAATCTTGGTGTGCATAGATTTAAAAAAAAATCTAGGGGCGCCTGGGTGGCTCAGTTGGTTAAGCGACTGCCTTCGGCTCAGGTCATGATCCTGGAGTCCCTGGATCGAGTCCTGCATTGGGCTTCCTGCTCGGCAGGGAGTCTGCTTCTCCCTCTGACCCTCCCCTCTCTCATGTGCTCTCTCTCAAATAAATAAATAAAATCTTTAAAAAAAAAAGAAAGAAAAAAAAATCTAATGCATTAGCCTCTGAGGATGTAGGAAAACACAGAAATATTGAAAGAAAAAAAATAATGCGTGCTTGTTGGAGAGAAGCTGAGGCTGGGAGAGGGACAAGAGAGAATTTGTGCATGAGCAGGTGAAAGAAAATGGCTTTGGGGAAGTGTGTCTATATTTACAGCCTTTACCATTAGGAGGAAGGTGGCAGTATAGACAGACTGACAGTACTTGGTGGGACCAGTTTCATGCTGGCTCACAGGGATACAATCCTAATTGTATCCTAGTTGATACACAAGTATTTGTTGAAGAAACAAAAAGATAAAAAATGAAATTCATGACTATTGATACAAGGAATTGGTTTTATTTAGAAGGATTGAATGGTAGGTTCTGTCTGATTTTCTGAGTATTCTGACTGAAAGAATTTCAGATACATGGTTTTCTCGTTTTCAAAGAATACAAATGTAAATTTACCACAGACATGATACCAAAGATGACAAAACCTTTCTTTGTAGAGTCTAAATTACAAACATTACTATTCAAAGATCAAGGCCGGGGATGTAGGTGCCATAGATAACATTTGTCCTGCCTTGGAAACCTCTGTGCATCTCTGTGCTCATATGCACAAAAGCTCCCAGAAGTTCCACCTCACAGATGGTACCAGCCTTTTCCACGCTGCTCAAGACCCCAGCCCACCCTCCCTCAGGCATTTTGGTGCCCTGACCTCCTCCTTCACGTGGTGACTGCAGTCACTTCTCTGAGCTCTCTCCCTGTCCTCAGTGAACGTCTCTTCACTGTTTCATAGCACTTCCGTTCTCCCTTTATTCCTGTTACCTGGACACACTGTGGAGTGGCCATACAGTTTCTCATTCAAACCCAGAACACTTCTGAGAGTGAAAGGGGACACTGTGATACTTACACAAGGACACGATGCCCTAGAATGGATGATACCCAGCACACTAGAAATGTCCTGGGCAAGCAGAACCGGGGGTCACCCTGGGAAGAAGCAACTTTCTTTGCCAAGGGGTACCGTTCCACCTCGGCTTTTGATTATACCCCTTATGTCTTCTCCAAGACTTGTTGCCACCAATTATTTCCTCATGATTTCAGTTTGTTCCTCTATCAATTTATTCACCTAAGATTCAAAAGGTGCCTGCTATGCCAATGTTGTTTCTGACGGCTCAGCTTTAATAAGGGGCTCATAATTTTATTTAGTACATCCTCTGTCACAGAACGTGGAGGTCTTTTCCCAAATGTTGTAGCATTGTAAACCATCTCTGTCCCATCCTCATGTCTGCAGCATCACCTCTCTCTCTGACTTTGTCATTGCCTCCCAGTCTTCCTGCCTTCTCACTTGCCTCCCCTTAAATCCATTCTCCACATAGTCACCAAGGAAATTTTTTTAAGTACAAATTAGACCCCACCCCTTCCCTCCATAAAAACCTTCAGTGGCTTCCCATTGTAGATAGAACACAATCCAAACTGCTTCTCATGCCCCACAAAGTCCTGTTTGAGGGGCCAGTGCCCACCTCAGCCCTCACTGCCATTGACACACCACTCCTACTCCTTCCTCCTATCCTCCCACACACCTGGGGTTGCTCTTCTCTAGCTTCCTGGACTTCTGTTAGTTCTTAAATGTGCCAGGCTCTCTCCTGACAGAGGCTTTTATACTGCTGTTTTCTCTGCCTGGCTCTTTGTGTAAATATTTCCTTTGTAGCCTTCAGCTCTTAGCTTAAATGACATCTCTTACAAAAAGCCTTCCCTGGAGTGGAGGGGGGTAGGAGAGATGGGGTGGCTGGGTGATGGACACTGGGGAGGGTATGTACTATGGTGAGTGCTGTGAATTGTGTAAGACTGATGAATCACAGACCTGTACCCTTGAAACAAATAATACATTATATGTTAATTAAAAAATTAAAAAAAAAGAAAAGCGGGGCGCCTGGATGGCTCAGTCGTTAAGTGTCTGCCTTTGGCTCAGGTCATGATCCCAGGGTCCTGGGATCGAGCCCCGCATCAGGCTCCCTGCTCCGTGGGAAGCCTGCTTCTCCCTCTCCCACTTCCCCTGCTTGTGTTCTCTCTCTCGCTGTCTCTCTCTGTCAAATAAATAAATAAAATCTTAAAAAAGAAAGAAAAGAAAAGCCTTCACTGACTATCACAGCTTCCATGCTTATTTTCATCATAGCATAATAATACCTAATTCTTGTATTTATTTATTTGATTCCTTATTTACTGCCTGTGTTTCCTATGAGGACATAAGCTCTCTGAGGGCAGGATTATAATATCTTTCCCATTTACTCCTCTGTCTCACCTCTTAGTTATAATACTCAGAACCTGGGTGCTCAATGTAATGCATAAATGAAAGTTACAAATGAATTCATTTATATACTTTGGGGAGGAAAATTTTCTGGAAGGGGATTTGCGATTCAAAAGGCTTATACTTTTTATATGTTTTTGAGGCTTTTGACGTGTACTACTCTCTAGAGAAGTTTTGGCAATTTATATCATCCCCAGCAGTATGGTTATTAATGGATGTTAATTTATCATTTAATGTTTGTTTTGTCAGGTAGGTGGGTGAAAATTATATCTTGCTACTTCTGTCACTTGCATTTCTTTGATTACTAGTAAAATTAAACTTTTTCTTATGCTGTGAAACATCTGTATTTCTTTTCTTGTATGTGTGTATATGTTAATTGCTTATTCTTATCAATTTTTGAGAAAGTTAGCCATTTAAAAATGTGAATTTTAGGAGTTCTTCATCTGTTAGGGATATGAAACTTTATTACAAATGTTGCCAATACTTTTCTAGATTACCATTTTTCTTTTAACCTTACTGTTGTTTCCTAACAAAGAAATTGTAAATATTTACGTAATTGAGTAAATCAGTTTTTCTTTAGTACTTTTGTCTTTGGTGCTATTATGAAAAGTATTTTCCCATCAAAAGATCATATGAATATTATCCATAATATCTTAATGGTTTCATTTAAGCATATTATCTGATACCATAATATATAATATATGTGCTATATTTTAATATATAAATACTTTTAAAAAATGATTTTTGGTATAGATAGAGATTTAATTTCAATTTTTCCACTATTTTTACAGTATATCAGAATTGTTTATTGAATAATTTATCCTTGCCTCAGTGATTTGAAATATCTTGTTTATCATAGTAAATAAAATCTTTTATAAATACTTAGATCCATCTCTGGGTTTTCCATTTGTTTCAATATCCCCTTGGGCTTTTCTTGCACTGGTTGCCATACTGTATTATTATAGCTTAAAATTGTTAATATATAGAAAGACAGCTTCCTCCTCTTTGCTTCCTTTTTTAATAGTTTTTGTTATTCTTTTAGCAATAATCGTGCCTCGGATAAACCTCATTGGCTATGATACTGCCACTGCGCAAAGCTTAGTTTTTGTTATTCTTAAATATTTATTCAGGGGCAACTGGGTGGCTCAGTTGGTTGGGCGTCCGACTCTTGATTCCAGCTTAGGTCATGGTCTCAGAGCTGTGGGATCAAGCCCAATGTCCAGCTCCATGCTCAGTGGGGAGACTGCTTGTCCCTCTCCCTCCCCCTCTGCCTCTCACCTCTGTGGCCACCACCCCCGCCCCGCCACTGGTGTGTGTGCATGCGTGCACTCTCTCACTCAAATAAATAAATAAAATCTTGGGACACCTGGGTGGCTCAGATGGTTAAGCGTCTGCCTTCGGCTCAGGTCATGATCCTGGAGTCCCGGGATCGAGTCCCGCATTGGGCTCTCTGCTCGGCAGGGAGTCTGCTTCTCCCTCTGACCCTCCCCC